GGGCACTTTGGTTTCTAGACCATAACTCTTCTTGTGTGAACAGTATTCCTTTTCAGGCTTTCACTCCATCACCCACCTCTCAGACCTGATTCTGCTTCTAGTGACAGAAATCTGTCAGAGAATCTCCCCATTAATTCTTAGGTTCTTTCCTGTCCCACTGCCTCTGCTGAATGCTCCCTCTGATAGTAAGAGTTTCCATTTCTTGGGCCACCTGGTAAAAGCCTTGCCTGTGTTTGGAGTTTGGGGAACAGTTCATTCCTGGGGAAGTGACATCTCTGTTCTGGGCCAACAAGAGTAGAAAAACTGGCTTCCTAAAGTACACACACACAGACACACAGATACACACACACACACACACACACACACACACCCTTCCTAAAGGAAGGTTGTGTCCATGTTTTAGAAATGGACACTGAGGCTGTCTGTAGTGTCTTTCAGGCTGGTGTGCAGTCTCCATGTGAACAATAGTGATGCCTGAGGAGAACCTGAACTGTTTGTCAAGGCCAAGGTGTGAGGTGTAGAAGATTACTGTCCTCAAGCACCTAAATGGCTTTTGCTGAAGGCTGGCTTGCTTACTGTGGGTAGTTTCAGAGAATAAAACCAGTACTGAGCTGGGTGTGCTTGTGCAAGTCTATAAACCCGTTACTTGGAGGCTGAGGCAGGGGGATCATCCATTTGAGACAAACCTGAGCTATAGAGCAAGACCCTCTCTCAAATCCTTACCCTGAAAAAAACAAAAACAAAGCAAAACACTCACAAAGCTGGTATCAGTCAACACAAAGAAGGAAAGGAGGCTGCTGTTTCTAATCAGGGAAAGACAAGTTTCCAGAGAAGTTTGCAACAGCATAGACTTCCTGGGCAGGGCCAGAACTTTGCCCCACCCAACGAGTTACAGGGACCATTTGTTCTGGATTTTAGAAGGCTATTATGCAGGGGTTCTCAACCTTCCTAATGCTGTGACCCCTTAACACAGTTCTTCATGTTGTGGGGACCCTCAACCATAAAATTATTTTCATTCCTACTTCATAACTGTAATTTTGGCAGTATAATGAATAGTAAAAATCTGATATTTCTGATGGTCTTAAGCAGCCCTGTGAAAGAGTCATTTGCCTCATAAAGGGGTTACAACCCACAGATCGAGAGCCCCTGCCATAACGGTTCCACGTGATTACCTGAGTTAAACTGATCAGTTAAGTTTATAGCATAGGTGTGTTTGACGTGTCAGGTGGGAAAAAGTTCTCAGATTAGTGTGTTGATTTTTCAGGTATTGTACAGACTCCTATATTTAGGTAGGAATTCAGAGAGGTCCCAGCCTTTCAGATCCACGACAAACAGGATACTGTGAGTGATGTGAAGAGATGGGCAAGGGTCCCCAGGCTCCACCCGCATGCCATGTTGGCTACAGAGGAACAGACAACGCTAAATCCTAACATCCATTACAGTAACTGGGAGAAAGGGAGAAAGCTACCGAGAACCAGATATTAAGTTTATACATCGAACATCTAATATTTTGGCAGCTAAACTTACTCGTAACATTATCACAAAATACTAATTTTCTATATGAGGGGGATTAGCTTCTACAGTTTAACAAGAGAAAGTCACACTCAAAACAGGATGCGGGAAGGAATTGGGAGAAGGGCTGCGTGACGAATACGTGGCGTAAGAAATATGAACGTCTTAATCATTTGGCGGGATACGCCGATTCATAAGAGAAATTAGTTTTGAAGTAACAGTGGAAACCACCTAACAGACATGGCTTAGACTTTGAAAATCAAATCAGAAAAATGTCACCACGGATATGGAAAAATCAGCTATTGGGTGCCTTTGATGGGAATGTGAAGTACTGTGGGACAGTGGTTCCTCAGGGGGTTTAAAATAGAATCTCCGTATGACCCACTCTTCCACTTCTCGGTTTGTATCTAAAAGAAGTGAAAGCAGAAAACCGGGGAGAAATTCGTATGCCTCATGTTCACAGCCGCATTCTTCACGGCACTAAAAAGATGTACATAGTTCAAGCAGCCATCTGTAGATGGGCACAGACGCTGAACCCGGTGCGAGCATCTTCAGAAGTGCGGAAATTCCAGGAGGTGTTGTAATATGGAGGGCCCCCGAAGGCACCACACTAAGTGAAGCAAACCCACCACAGAAAGCTAAATACTGTAAGATTCCACTTCCATCTAAAGAAGTCAAGTCCATGGAGACAGAAGGTGGTTTCTGAGACAGACATGAGAGAAGAAGAAGGAACAATTACTGTTTACTGAGTCCAGAGTTTCCTCTTGCAAAATGAAAAGACTTTGGGATATGGTGATGTTGAAGGTTGCACAATGCAAATCTTTTATGTGCCGCTGCATGCTTGGAAATGATCAGTCTAGTAAATATTGCATGCATTTTACCACATTTAAAAAATTATTATGAGAGGGCTGAGGAATTCAGTTAGTGGGGCACTTGCCTGGCAAGCACAAGGCCCTGGGTTCAATTCCAAGCACTGTCAAAAATGTATAACGAAGCGTCGTTTTAACCTTTAAATGGTACAGATCAAAAATTCACAAATTAGAAAACATTCTCAAAAAAGTATGTGAAAGTAAGCAGTCTCCTGTGGTGGAAGTTTTAATGCATAATTGTGGAGGAAAATCTTTCTCTATCTGTGAAAATTAAAATTCCATTACTCTTCAGCCCTTGATCAAGTGATTCTCCTTCTGGGAAGTAGGCAGCTCCTCCAGGTATGGGATGAAATATAATATGGGTTTTTCTTTACAACAAAAGATTAGGAAAAACTTATCTGGCTATTTGCATCAAATAGATTACAGTAGAATATAGTATGCAGCTGCTAATATGAGAGTGCTAATCATTACGGACATAAAATAATCCCCAAGCTGGTAGTATATATGTAAAAGTATGTATTGAAAGCTTCTATTTGTGTTTTAAAATAAAATAAGGATACATATGGATCTGAGTTGTTACTTTGTTTTATTTTGTCTAAAATAATTCTAAGCGAAGACAAGAAATTGAAACAAGTCGCTGGTCATTCCAGGCACACCTTTGGAAGAAAGTTAGATGGCCAGGGACCAGAGTTTATAGGGACCCTTGCTTTCAACTATTTGTCACTCTGATAGTTAATAATGGCTGCCACCTTGAATCACCAATCTAGATTCCTGGGTTTTCTCTAAGGGGGTTTCTAGACTGGGTTAATTCAAGCAAGGCAAGCCATCTTAACTGCAGCCTGAACCATTGCATGGGTTGGGGTCTCAGGCTGGATAAAGTGGAAAAGGCGCGATGAGTGCCAGCATTCCTCTCTCTGCTTTCTTACTGAGGGGACAATGAGACCAGGTGCTTCATGCTCCTGCCCCGTGACTTCTCTGCTATGACCACACCCAAATGTGGAAGCCAAAACAAACCTTCCCTTCCTGTTGCTTTTATCAGATATTTTGTTGCAACAACAGAATTAACTAATACTTCTCCTTTACTTTTTTTTTTAAACAAAACAAAACAAGGTCTCACTATGTACCCCTGTTGGCCTATAGCTCATTGGGTAGACTAGCCTGATCTAGGACTCACTGAGATAGATGGATATTTACCTCTGCCTCCCAAGTGCTGGGATTAGAATGCATGTGCTACCATGTTTAAGACTCAGTTTTACTTTAACATTTACAAGTTATGTACAGATATAATCTCTAAAAATTCTTAATTAAAGAAATTACTGTCTTGAAGGATTAAAACACACACACACACACACACACACACACACACACACACACACACACACACCATTTTAGCACATTGCTCTGTGCCAAACACTATAAGAGCAGAAGGAAGGATACAGACACAACCTGAAAGTTGGAGAACAGCTGTAGACAGTCCACCCTCCAAGGAAGAAATTTCTGCTATTGAATACTTACGTGTCTTCCCAGAGCACTGCTTTCCTTTTATGTACAAATCTGGGTAGTAATCCACCTGCTAGGTTTCCTCTTTAACATTAGCCATTAAGCTACAAGCCAAATTTGAGTGCCACCCAGTACCAGGTGGTTTTATTCCTATAGTAGGCAGTTAGCATTGGCTTTGTCTTGGGATCTGCTCCAAACTTCTCTGTTTCCCCACCAGTCCAGTGTTGGTCCTTATTCTGTACTTCCAGTAAGGTCTAACATCTTTTTGGTTTATACTGAGTGGTTGAGTAGAGAAGCAGACAGAAAGGGAGAGGAAGAAGAGGCTAGAGGTTATAAAGCCTTGTCTGACATTTTTCTTTAGTACACCTTACAGCTGAAGTGAGTATTCTCAAAGTGTGGCCCTGGCAATTGCTAGACATAAGCTTCATCTCAACTTATGGCCAAATTCTCTGTGCACAAGGCCCAAGAAACTGTTTTACATGCTCTCCCGGTGACTTCCACACATACTAAACTTGGAAAACCGTGGGAAAATCAAAGGAAATTTGATTTTTCTCAAGTGTCTAGATGTTCTCTTGTATTCCCTGTGTTGGCTGAGAAAAGTAATGCTTTCCTCTACAGCCAAATGTCTCACAGCCTTGTCACCTAACATCAAGTACATCTAGCTAATGTCACAGTCTCCATTAGCTGTGGGAAGGGTGTGGAGGGTTGGAGAGCAGTGTTTTATACTACTTCAGTCTGGAAACTAAGTCTCTACCTTTGTGAGACGTGGACGTCATATTGACCCTTGGACTTTTCCTTAGGATTTCCTGAGTCTGGGAAGGAAAAGGAGAAAGGAATGGAGAGAGAGGAGGGAGGAGGGAGGACAGAGGAGGGAAGAGGAATCTGTTACCATGTTTAGAAGCAGCAGCCATCTTTTCTGCCCTCGGTAATATGGCCTGCCTCACTGCAAAGGAGGCTGGGAAATATGACCTGTGTATGGAGCTAAGGGGTGGGAGGATGACTTCAGTGAATGTGAGAACCTACATGAATTTAAATACTATTTCTAAGTCATGTTTCAGTGAACAACTATTTTCAGTCTCACTTTCTAACTAAGTTTTTTCTTGTCTTTTTAAACTCCAGCACCATGGACTTGAGACTCCTTTTTGTGACAGCCATTGTGTTCACAGGTAAGAACCCTTTTCTGTGTTAAGTCCTGGAGTCCTTCTACTGTCTTCCAGTGAGTCAGACCACTGCAAGCCCAGACTTAAGAGTTGTTGATACGGTTTGTTCATGTTTGACTAGCGTTGCCTAAGACCTCGTAGCAAAGAGCTTTCCTAGAGGGTACGGAAGGATCAGAACCATGACCAGGTGTCTCCAGTCTGGGCATCTTCCTCCTCTGCAACCAAACCCCCAGGATCTCAACATACATACAGCACAAGGTGGAGTGTCCTGTCCAGGACTCCTAGAAGGGTAAAGAAGGCCATGACAGTAAAGCCTCTGACTTGACTCCACACATACACATCTGGTCTTTTCAGTCCCCATTTTCAATATTCTCAAGCCCTTGGGAAACAGCTGATGGCTTTCAAAGGCTTTCTTCTTGTAGTATTGGTTCACCACCACACCCTTCTTCCTTAGCCTGTTGTTCCCTAGTTCATACTCATCATGCTTTGCGATTCTATCTTCTGGTTAATCATGTCAGTCAATTTACCCTAAAGCTAACTAAGCTAATGCTTTAGGGTTCCCCCTTGCACAGGCTCCCCCTTTCTAGCCCCTAAGGACCCCAGGAGGTTCCCAGCACTATATTACATATCTTATGACTTGGTAAGATTTGGATAAGATAATCATAATTAAGATTGCCTTTCCCTCCCCCTTATTACAGTCTCCTGCTGGGTGACATTTTGCATTTGAATTTCGTGGTTTTGTTTTTGTTTATTTTTTTCTTAAAAGCTCCCTACAGTTTAGAGGTATGAGGCCTCCAAGAATTCAACCCTTCTTGGCTCACTGCTCTCTGGATGTACCCATAAGCAGCTGGCTGGAGGCCCTACCATGCATCCTGCAACTGAATGCCATTTTGTTTCTGCTAGCCCACGCTTTCCTATACTCACTTTCTCCACCTCAGCGCTGACAGGGAAACCATCTCAGTCTTGGTGACAGGCAGACAGGGTAGGTAAGCTTGTGGTGTGCCTGGAGCAGCTGTAGGCCACCCCTGACCACCTGGCCTCTTACTAACCAGCTCAGCCATAAAACCACCTCCTCCATAATTGTCACACAACAGTCTCTTGGCCACTGTCCCTAGCCCTGGCATGGTACAGAGGAGGAGTTGAGTATTGTAAAGAGATATTCCCTTAGATCTCAGCAGATAGAGACGGGCCTTCTGTGATTTGTGTTTTCTGCTTAGCACTAAAGGCTTGCTGAGGGCACCAGTGTGACATCTATAGGTACTCACCCAGCTATTATCAATGTAAGTGAGAATGGCACCTTTCACTTGCCAAGGCCAATGACCCAGAGTCTCAGCTTCTGGGGAGATGTACACACACACACATACACACACAAATATCAGAGGTGGAGGAGATAAAGATAATTTGTATGTGTGTGTGTTTATGTATCTGTACATGTCTCAATGTGTGCACGTGCATACATGTCTCTGTGTGTCTCTGTGTGTGTGTGGCGTTTGTGTGTCATGTATATGCTTGTGTACATGCACGGTTGCCTATGTGTGCTTTTGTGCATATGTCTCTCTGTGTGGATGTGGATGTGTGTGGTGTATACATGTGTGTTCATGGACGTTTGTGTCTGTGTGTCTGTGTGCGTGTGTGTATGTATGTGTGTCTTCAGTTCAGGTACTGTTCTGAGCACTTTATAAATGTAATTCTTTTAAAAACCACAGTAACTTGCTGCATTAGATCTTGTAATTATTCCTTATTTTAAGACAAGGTCCATTAAGTGCAGAGACAGCTAAGTAATTGACTCAAGCTCAACACAGTGCCTAATGAGAGAGGCCAGCTCTGTGCCCAGCAGTGCAGGCTGAGCGACACTGGTGTGAGACATCAGGCTATTCCTAAGTCTTACTCCTGAGTTCATTTCAAGTGGCAAGCTCTGGTTTTGGGCGAGTCAACTAGCTTTGGTGGATGATATTGCTTCAGCTTGGTTCTTCCTCCTTCGCTTCCTGCGTCTATCCGAAGCCACACCCTAGCTGTCCGGTGGCCAGAATGGCAAGCTTAGCTTTTAGGATCTGGGAGAGAAATGCCCCAGAAACAAATATTCAGTAACAGCTTAACTGAGACATGTTTTCTGTCCGCAAACTTTTGGGCTCAGCCCTTTGAAAATGAGTAGGTAAAGCTGAGAAACCCATCAAAACCAAGGACAGGTGTCACTTCTATTTTGACCTGCTCTGAAACCGTGTGGAAACTCCTAGCGTCTGAAAAGGGGGTCGATGATATTGAACCATAAGAAAAAAATTCTTGAGTGATAACTGATTAGGTTTTATTCTAGCCAGGAGATATATGGGAAGGGGATATAGCTGGGGACCAACAGAGGCAATTGGCATCATCCGCTAGAAAATGAACTTGCTAATACTTCACTCACCAATAAACACAATGATAAAACAGTCAGCATCCATTTCCAACCTTTCATTATTATTACTATCATAGCATATATATAATCACTGATAAATATACTTCTTTAGCTTATTTTTTTATTTCAAGCATGCATACAAATGTATCTTGGTTATATCCATCCCATTCCTCCCCTCCAATCCCTCAGTCCCCCCAAAACACCTCCCATGTGCCTCTGAACTTTGAATGCACATACATGGAGCCACTATGTCCACAACCCAAATCCCAGAGGCTCAGCAAACATTACTGGAGACAAGAGGGGAAGAAAGAATTTAAGAGTCAGAGGATGGGGAGGAGTTCTGTGACCACTGGCCACTGGACAGGACATGGCTGTTTCCCATGTGAATTTCCAGAAGCTGTGGTTATCTGCACAAGATGACCATAGGATCAAGAGAATTAAAGGTTCCAGCAGGAAATAGGAAAGGAGGGCTACTCCCAATCCCTAGATGAAAAGCTAATAGCAGTTGATGGCTACCGAGAGAGAGACACTTTTCTTGGGGTAGCGACATTGGAGATCTGCCTAGGAGATGACCCACACAGGTGTGCTTATGAACAACAGTAAATGGACTTAGAGGGTGTTATCAAATTAAAAGCCAACCATCTTTAAACATAGAAGAAAATCTATTTGAGACGAATCTGTCTCTTCCTGAGCTATGGAATAGACACCTGCCCAAGGGCAGGCATCCAAAGAGAGAAAGGAGACACGATTGGTGATAATAATCCACAGGGGGAAAATTGCAAGGCTGGTAACTTATGACGACACACAAGACATAGAGCAAAATAATTCTGCCCTGCCCCCTACACCTCTCACATGCTTTGCTGGAAACTGGAGACCTTTGTTGCTGCCCTTGATCAATTGCTATGAGTGTGGCAGACAAAGGACAACCTTTATAGGCTCAGTTCTCTTCTTCCACCTTTGTGTGGGTCCCGATGGATGAACTCAGGTTACCAGAATTGTACAGCATCCTTCTGGGTCATTTCATGGGCCCTTCCTTCTGGGGATCCTCTAGTTCAAGTAGCTATGACGACAGGTGCATCCACCATGTCTAGTCCGGTTGGACATTTGGCCGTTGCTCTCTTCTTGTCTGAGGCTTCTCCAGTTCTAGGGTTCACTTCACCTGACCAACACTGGTCAACAATAACCCTGGAATGGGAGAGTCTTTCTTCACTTAAAGGTGTACACAAAACAGCCTCAGACTATCGTTTTGTGCTCTATGTCAAGGCTGACTGTCTTCCCTCAGATTCTATAGGTTTTGGCTTGGATGGTTGGATGGAATTAGCATTTACGTGTTTCCTTCAGCTCTGTCTTTTGTCGTTGTCTACCATCACTAAATCAAGTACCTGGGGTCAGCTAACAATGCAAACTTAATCTACCTAAAGGGTCACAGTCTTGGGGCCTTTTTGATTTAAGAGGAAGTAGAGTGCATCCCTTGCTATCTATGTGAAAACATCCAACAAGCCATCCGATGTGTTGTCTGGGACTCCATTGAAAGCTGTGGACTGGAGATACACTAGCTTATCCCTGAGAATTCAGTCAATGGGCATACAGAATAAATCCCAGAGTGAACAGACACATGAACCAGGAAGTCAGACTGAGGAAGTTAATTCCAAGTAAGCTGGAGTTCAAAGTTGTGATGCAATGGCCAGATGGGGTGACATCAGAAAGAGCACAGAGCTGCCCTGATGGAAGCTGGTAACACCTTTTGTCAGAAAAGCTTCAGGAGAGACAGGAGTGAGCCATGTAGAGGGGAGAAAGCTGTCCCTGCTCACTGGGGAATCTAACGGGAAAAGAAAAGCAAGGGCAGAGGGGACCTGTTTGAGACAGGATGATGAGACTAGAGGCCATGTTCAGAGAAGTAGAACATCACAAATGTTGAATGTTACCTACCTGTTCAATAAAATTATTTCCTGTAAGGGTGCTTAGCCACCCAGTTGTAAGATCAGATCTGTAGACTCAAAAGCAGTTTCTTTAGTATAACTTCTACCGGGGCCAAGAGGCATATTTACTGGCTTTTTACTTGTGAGAAACAGTTACAAGGCTGTATTATTTTTTTTTGTGTGTCGTCCAATATAATAGCCACTATTCGTATGTGACTCATTAAGCTTTAATGAAGTATCATTAAATGAGATGAAACAATTCAATTTATCCAGCACTGTAAAAACTGATCTAGTTTCTTGGTCATATTTTCTACTTGTCGACGATTCACATTGTTCAAAACCAGATAAGACTTCTCTCCCCTCAAAGAATTATTTTGGAGGAATAATACACTGTGAGATCAAAGACTGAGGTCTAAGACAGCTAACATCTCAATGAAGTTGAAGAACAGCTAGGAAGAAAGTGAGAGTGAAAACTGGGGGCCATCAAAAGCCATGGGCAAGATCTGAGGCTTTAAGTCTCCCAGGAGACTGCTCAGGATGATGCCATGAAAAATGGAGGGCTGCTGTCCACGTCTGTGGGTGAAGGTCTCTGTGGTGAAAGAAGTCAAGGAACTTTGACACAAGGTTGTTGACAGATTCGTTATTGATGAATAAAGTGTTAGATTATCTTAGCTAACCAATTTGAGAATTGATTAGAAAGAAGAGCCTTGAATATAATAACAAAATCCTCCTTGAGTGAAGACATAGTGACCAATAATTAGTGGTTCATAACTATGAGGTGGGAGACACCTTTTGAGTGGAGAGGGGCTGCTCGAGGCCCCTGCTGAGGAAGCCAGGAGTGTACTGTGGGCCACATGGAGTCCTTTAGGAAGAACCAGAGTCCATGGAAAGGATGTTTAGGGTCATATTTTTATTGAACAGGGTCAGCTATATGGGACACTCTGATGGTTTCTTTCTGCAGAGGTCCTTTAGTATTCTTGACCACTGATTCCTGACTAGGGAGATACATGGCTGAATTACTGCATGCTTAGCTCCTGGCTGTATCATATCAGTCACAGCTAAATCTAAACCATTTCTCTAGTCCAAGTGTTAGAAGAGGGAGGATTTCTTAGTGCTTTCCACCAATGGAATTCCAGGGGGTTCACTTGCTTTGAGGCCCCAAGTTCTGGGGACCATATCAGTGGAGGCCTGAAGCCACTGGGAAAGAACAGGCCTTGAGTCAAATTTTCCCCATATGGTCATACTTAAGATGTGTCTGCCTGGTTCAGAGTGACATCAAGACAACCAGGGTCTGATGACAAGCCAAAGCATGTAAACTGCGAAATACTTTCAGTTCCACTCAGGATGACTACAGAGTAGTTTCTTCCTAGTGGGGAAGAGCGGGGGTTAGAGAGGATAGAAGTGAATACGGGTGGTCATCAACTCTGATCCCCTCAGCTTCCCAAATAAGAGTTCTTGGTAAAATGAAGGTTCTGATTCAGCTCTTGTGTGGAGCCAGAAAGTCTATGTTTCTGACCAGTCCCTAGGTGAGGTCAAAGGCTTTGGTCTACTTTTTATTGGTAGGTAAAGAGGAAGCCGAGAGAAGATGAAGTTTCTGTTATCTTTGAGGGAGGGGGGGCTGGGTCAGAGAAATTGGACAGGGAGTGAATGGAAAGGAAATTAGGTACTCTGGGTTTTCACAGAAGAAAAAGAAAATCTGTGTGTAGATGTAAGAAACTCAGAGTGAGTTCACTTCTAGAACCAGAATGTACAACTAGTAGCTGAGCAATAACATCACACCAACCAATAGCTGGCCAGTGCTTCAGCTGCCTGCTTGCTTCTCCATCAGATCATCTGTCCAGAATCACAATAAGTTAGACCCAAACCAGAATATGTCCTGCCCTCCACAGAGTCCATTAGCTCTCACTGAACTGCGAACATTTACAGTAGGTGGCACTCTTGCCTCTCACTTAAGAGATTAGCTGATATGTAACAGAAAGCCAAATACAATACATTTTCCTTAGGTCCCATTTTCTTCACTATTGTGGGAACTTAGTGATCTCCCTCTTCCCTCCAGTGCAGACGTGCATGCTGTACTTCACTGATGTCTGGAGTCTCCTCCAGGACCATAGGCAACCTCTTGATCATCGGTTCTCATGGGGTGGTCTGCAGGCAGTTGAGCTTTGCCAAGTCATGCCATCATACCTGCCTATCTATTTCCTGTTTAAAGACAAGCCAATTGGTCAGGTCAATTTAACTTCTCCTGACCTGCCATCACTTCGAGTGGGACTCCTCTCTCATCTCCCTCATCCACCACTGCCCCCCCCCCTTTCCTTCCTTCCTGAAGTCCTTAGGGACAAATGGTTTTTACGAAGACTCTACTCCAATCTTCTCCCCACAGCAGCATCCAGCTTCATATGAACCAAAAAAGGCATGTCCATCTCACCTTTCACCTTTCACCTCTCACCTCACATCTCCCTCTATCTATTTTCTTTGCTGAGTCTCCAGCAGTTCTGTGGCCTAAAAAAAGTCCCACAAGTTGGCTTACGCCAATGTGTCCTTTCTCTGAACTTTTCCATTATACTCCTTTCGGGTTCTAAAAGTTTCCAGGGCAGTGCAGCTTGGGAGTAGGCATTGGTTTCTCTGGGGTTTCTGTAACATGACAAGGCACTCTCACCTTCCTACTTATAGCTCCCTCCCAGCACCTAACTCATATTCCTTAAATATCTTGACCACTATAATCTCCCAAGAGCCATTGCATTTGCCCAGCTTCCTTTCTGGTCCCTGAAAGATCCTAGAGAGGTCATTGAGAATAGAGACATTGTTTGACTCTTGAGGCAGTTCAAAACCCCTTTTCTGACTCTGGGAATAGCACCCATGGGAGCAGGAACTAGATGAATGTCAAAGAGGTGACTCAATGGAGATCCCAATATAAATGAAGACTAATAAAAGGTGTGTGACCATCAGCAACAATCTTAAAAAAAAAAAACCTAGCAGACCAAAGAATAAGGGTACTGCATGGGGCAGGCAGGCTTTAGGGGGATGGTGTAGCAATTAAGGAGGTTGTAGCAACTATGGTGATGGTAGTCACTGCTCTGGTTTAGAAACTCACAGAAGCACAGTACCAGAAGGAATCCTAGAACATTACTTCAGTCCACCTCCTTAATTGGCTGAGAAAGCTGAGATTCACAAAGGTTGCAGCCTGCACATGTGAACAGTGGAACAAAAACAAAGGTCTAAGTTCCAGATGTCCAGCATGGATGGCCAGTTCCAGATCCTAGCATCCACCTCTCCAGGATTATCACTGCCTAGCAAGCTGGAGGCTGGGTGCTGTGTCAAAGCAACGGAGTTTCCCCTTTCTGTTTCCTCTTTCCTAATTCTCAGGTTTTCTATTTCAGTTGCTGTTTCCATGAAGAGGCAAGCTTATTTCAATAGGACTGCATACCTACCATGCCCATTTACAAAGGCTCAGAACATAAGCCTGAGTGAACTAGTAGTATTTTGGCAGGACCGGAACAAGTTGGTTCTGTATGAGCACTATCTGGGCACAGAGAAACCTGATAACGTGAATGCCAAGTACCGGGGCCGCACAAGCTTTGACGGGGAAACCTGGGCTCTACGACTTCACAATGTTCAGATCAAGGACATGGGCTCATATGATTGTTTTATACAACGAAAAACACCCACAGGATCAATTATTCTTCAGCAGACAGAAACAGAGCTCTCAGTGATCGGTATGTGGTCAGTGCTGTGTTTAGATTGTTGGCTGCTCAGATGAGACTAGAAACGAACAAGGAAACATTGAGGGTGGTTATTGAAACAGACTGGAAAAGAAGGCAGAAGAGAGCCACTTCTAGGAAGTCCATTTGGAGGGAATGTGGGGTCTGAGCGTGGGAAACTGAAAGCCCTTTGTACTTGGATGGTTTGTTTCTTGCTCTCCTTGAGTGTGACTTGATTCAAATGTGGCTACAGGGCTTCCATTTAACAAGGTGCTAAGTGTGTGTTTTCATTGTGTGGAAGGCACCTTTGGAGAAACAGTGTGTTTTAAGAGAGGCACAGAGCAGCCTTTAAAACAGACCGTCTGTTTATTATAATATGTGTTAGTACTACAACTTAACTCATGACTGCAAAAGATACTGCTGATGAAGCTGAGTGGAATCTAGTAATTCTCACCAAGCATCAGCAGAATGTTCAAGGAACATAGCAATATCGCAAAACTCAAAAAAGGGTGACATGCAAATGACTTCCATTGTTAGGAAGAATACATGGCACTATTGTTTTGGTTATGAGTCCAGCCTTTAGTGGCTGAACCCTCTCTCCAGTTTCATACTCAATTATCAATTAATATGTAGAATGTACACATGTGTCAGATCCAGGATCTTTGTGACAGTGCACTTCTGTCCTAAAAACACCAGTGGAAAACAAAGAGGAGAGAGTTTTGAATTTGCCCCCGTGTGGATGAATGGTTTTCAGCACAGTAGTCCTCAACCTTCCTAATTCTGGGACCTTTCAATCTACTTCCTTATGTTGTGGTGACTTCCAACCAGACAATTATTTAACTTCTACTTCACAGTGGTAATTTTGCTATTGTTATGAATCATAATGTAAACATCTGATATGCAGAATACCTAATATACGAACACCCCAAAGGGGTCGCAACCCACGGGTTGAGAACCACCACTGTTATAGTGCATAAAGTTAGACTCTGGTAGTCATGTCAAAAACCAACATTCTGTGATTGTAAACACAAAGACCTCCTTATGACTCCTACACCTAGGTTCTTAAAGATGAGACCCAGAGCATGCAAGAACCATAAACCCTGTGAGTTCTTGATGGAAATCTATCTCATCCCTCAGTGGCAAGGTGAAATGTTTTCCTATGGGAATGTAGGCCAGATCGTTAGAGCAAGTCTCCATCGAGACCCCAGTTCTTAGAGTAGTCGCTTCACTATAGACTTTGGTAAGATAATTTTAGCTAGCCTATCTCTCAGAGAGCACTCTCTAGGGGAGCAAGTAGACATCTTGAAAGATAAATTTAGGCTTATTATGTAGCCCTCACTATGGGCTGAGGCCCACACAGTATACACCTTGCAATGGCCAGATCTACTCAAGTCAGGGAACTGGATATCAGTCACTTGCTGTTTCTTTGTATAGATGGCTACATTTAGGTTGACTGTTTCCATCCCTTTCTGCTTCTAGCCAACTTCAGTAAACCTGAAATAGAACTGGCTCAGAATATAACAAGACATTCTGGCATAAATTTGACCTGCTCATCTAAACAAGGTTACCCAAAACCTAAGAAGATGTATTTTCGGATAACTAATTCAACTAATGAGTATGGTGACAACATGCAGATATCACAAGACAATGTCACGGAACTGTTCAGTGTCTCCATCAGCCTATCTCGTTCATTCCCGGATGGTGTGAACAATATGACCATTGAGTGCATTCTGGAAACAGAGTCAATAACTATCTCCTCCAAACCTTACAATATAGGTAAGGCTGCTACCTTAGATTATTTATTTCACAAGGTGCTGTATGCAAATCTTTTATCCCAATTATCCAGTGTTCACTGCTTGCTGAAAAAACCTTCCAGTAGGCCACTAGGAAGGAGCCAAATAGAAGATTCTTTTTACATTTGCATGACCTAAGGTCCAAGAGTCTATGAAACTGAGCTATCCTTGAAGAAACATGGTCTTAGCCCTAAAACTGACCCAGTCTTTGGAGCTACTCTTGGATGGAGGACAATGAGATGCTGTGGACACACAATAGAAGATATCTCCTAGCAAGAAGCTTTCAACTGACTAAAACACACGCACACACACACTCACACATATAGTATACATATATATGCCTGCCTCCAAATAGTACTTATTATGCATATGGACTCATTGTAGTCATTGTTGGCTATAAAGCTGAAAACTCAGATAGAAGATATCTTCTAGTTCTGGAGAGTCTCTAAAAACTCAAAAAATGTCTTCTAGTTCTTGAGACTCTCCCAGGAAAATAAGAAATCCACAATGTACATATATGACAAACCAAGTTTTTTTGAAGGTAAAATTCAAGTCTAAATTATAGCTCATGGAAACAATTGCCTAAATTTGAAACAAGTTGATCATCAGTTCTGTGAGTATTCAGAGGTAGGCAAGATCTTTGAAAGTCAGGTAAGTCTTCCTAAAGGCACTTGGGCCTTATCCTACTGTAAAACAGACTATTGGACTTAGTAAATAAAAATAGAAGGGAGGAGGAAATAGAGTTCCATATGAAAACCCTTCATGTTTGCAGTGACTTTGTGCATGCTCAGCCAGTGAGAGAACCACAGCGAATCAGCTGTACCCCAAAGGAGAAGGAGATATGTTCAAGACTGACTCAGTGAAGGCATCCTTGCAGCATCTTCTTGATGTGTTTCCATGGTGATGTAAGAAGAGTTTGAAACTCAGTGCCAGCTTTGCCCCATAGAGAGCTAACCTACACCTGTACCTCACTTGTGACAAGCAGCCATTCCTCCTAGAATGAGGGCACTCTGCTCTCACTTGGTGCTCGCTCATCACTCATTGCTGTTTATTCTGAGGCTCATCCCCTCCCCGATCTCACCCCAACCCCACAGCCACCTGCCTTCTGCTTCTATGGCCCCTTCTCCAGCCCTTTATGATTTGCTCCTTCTGATAGCACCCATCTACCTCTTTCTGCCTCCCCTTGCTTTGCCTCATCCTTGATGCTGGTGCCTCCCCCAGTAACTTGGCCTATGGACATACTCCGAGAAACATTCCCATGACTAGTTTTACAACTGAACCTACCCCCTCTTCCAGTACTGATTCCCTTTTGCTCAGATATCTCAGCCACCCAGCTGTCCTAGTTGCTTCTACTGAACCATTTCCTAGAAACATAGAAGACACTCTAAGCTGTACCTAAAGCTTATCACCTTCAGATAACCACCAGCATCAATCTCCCCACCCTTGTCTACAAGTGAGCAGGTAACACCATAAGCTCAGCATGACTCACCTCTGCTAGTTAACTATTTTAGAGCTTGCCCAGATACTACCTTCAGAAATACTTCAGCCCTGGGTACCTCATCCAAAGGGCTTGCATATCTGTGTCCCTAAATCTATGCCCTGACCAGAGATAGTTAGCTACTATCTTAGTTAAGGTTTTATTGCTCTGAGGAAACACCATGACCACAGCAATTCTTGTAAAGAAAAACATTTAATTGAGGCTGGCTTACAGTTTCAGAGGTTTAGTCCATTATCATCATGGTTGGAAACATGGTGGTATACAGGCAAACATGGTGCTGGAGAAGGAGCTGAGAGTTCTACATCTTGATCCACAGGGCATGGCTTTAGCACAGGAAACTTCAAAACCTGTCTACCCAGTGACACACTTCCTTCAACAAGGTGGCACCTACTCCAACAAGGCCACTCTTCCTAACAGTGCCACTCTTTATGGTCAAGCATTCAAACACATGAATCCATTACTATTCAAACCACCATAGCTACTGAATCTTTTTATGTATCAGAAGGCAGAAGTCTCTATATAAGAGCCATAACCTCCTTTATTGGAAATCCCAAATAGATTCAAGTGAGACAAACAGGGACACACTCAAAAGGTATTAAGTATGGTCCACAATGCCAATAATTATTTTCCTTACTATTCTAAGAAGAGGACACATGCCTAAAAATTATATCTAAACTATGGTATATTTTGATCCTATTTTTTTTATAATTCAGGATTAAACATAAAGACTGTTTCTTTAAATGTCTATGTACTGAACTACTTAGTTTTCCATTAATTTCCGAGACTGCAGTTTCAGCTTTCCTATTCTAGGAAGTAATTGCTGGCCTTCAGGGATCTGATTCTCCAGGGAATGAAGAAATAGCAAAAGTTTCCTAACAGAGGAGGCATACTGAAAGGCAGGGCAAGGAAGCCTGGGGTTACTTCAGTAAAAATAATAATCAAATACTTTGAAGTAGTTGTTATATTTGTCCAAATGAGCTGTGGTCTAGAAAGTGAGTTCAAGATGGTGGTGGATGGAAGAACCATTATCAAAGTTCCTCTAGGTTTCCAGTTGTTGATTTCAGTTTTTTATGGCCCTAGAACCCAGGGAGGGGGAGAGGGAGGGAAAGGGAGAGGGAGTCAGTCAGAAGGAGGGAGGGAG